CAAAAATACAGAAAAAAAGAGGAGACTGTTAAGACATTTGGAGAATACAGTAAGGCACTTCAGCATGCTTTGGCTGAGACTTAGAATAAAAATGAAAGAACATAAAGTGGGCTACATCTGAAAACATGGAAGACTTCTAGACTGTATTCAGGTCAATAGTAAGGCCAGCACCCAGCACCAAGGTGAGGTGATTAAGCAGGGAGAGGGGGCTCTACTCCCTTCTCTATAGAAACTGACTTTAATTCTGCAGTGTTTCCCACCTACGTGTTTAGATGGTGGCAGTTTGTAGTGTCCTTCTATTATGAAATACTGACACTAGGCGATCAGTTATTGTTTGGTCTTCTGATTCAAATGGATAAAAGTCCTCTACATCCTTTAAAGGGAGGACCACGGATCCACAGCTATGCGGCTCTGTGCCTATTTTCAGGATAAAAGTGTGACTAGGATATTGCTGTGGAATCAACATATTTATATATTGTATCTTAAACCCTTACCATGCTGTTATAAGCTGGGCTTAGGGGTGGGATCTGCTATGAAGGGCAAAGCGTTAGTGCTTTGCTTGCTATGCACGGGATTACAAGGAGATGGGACCCACACAGGAAGGGCATTCTCACTGAACACTAGACCTACCGGTGCCTGTATCTTGGACTTTCGCGACTCCAAAATCATGAGAACTAAGTGTTTTTTTTTTGAGATGCGCCACCAGAGGCATGCTCTTATAACAGCCCTTAAGTGGGGGGAAAGAGACAGAAACTGAGAACACTTCAGTGAGAAAAAAGGTTTGCCACATGTGGGCTGTGAGATCAGTCACAGTGCTGTGTGATGACGTATCAAACAGCAGTAGTGAGAATCCACAGCAGAAGATGGGTCTGGAAATGCTCTTGGACACTCAGGAAGGTACATCTGAGTCCCAGATGAGCAGCTGCTTTGTTTGAATAGATACGTTTTATTGTCTTTGGATGCAGATTTCTTTTCTCTTCATTTTGCAAAACAGTATTTTCTTAAATTGGTACAATTTTTCCAGACAGGCGTGGGAGTACACAGCAAGTACTCAGGAGGCAGAGGCAGATTGCTTCCAAGTTTAAGACAGCCTGGTCTACATAGCAAGATGGTCCGGGCAAGCCAGGGAAGCCAGGGTTACACATTGAGAACTCACCCCCCCACCTCTCTCTCTCTCTCTCTCTCTCTCTCTCTCTCTCTCTCTCTCTCTCTCTCTCTCTCTCTCTCTCTCTGTGTGTGTGTGTGTATGATGGAGGAAGTCCTTCTGTGTATATGTTTATCTTATTGGTTAATAACTAAAGCACTGATGGCCAACAGGAAAGCAAGATAGGTGGAACTAGGAGTCGAGGAGGATTCTGGGAAACAGAGGTACAGTCAATCACGATGTAGGACTCGAGAGAGGTGATCCGGACCCTTTCTCCTTTCTCAGGTAAGAGAAGACCACGTGGAAATATTCAGATTAGCAGTTATGGGTTAATAATTAAGTCAGAGTTAGCCAATGAGAAACCATAGCAATCAGCCAAAAGGTTTATAAATAATACAGTGTCTCATGTGTTATTTGGGGGCTGAGACAGCAGCAGGACCCAGGAAGCTGGCAGGAAAGAGATGTTACACGTGTGTGTATGTGTGTGTGTGTGTGCGTGTGTATGTATATATACATGTATATAATATATATTTACATATATACATACATGTATCTATATTCTCTATTCTACAAATGTGTTAAAAACTCATACAAAATTAATATGGTACAATAATGTCTTAATTATATTACTGTCTATATTATGTATGATACAAAATATTTACATATTTAATTAACTGATTTAAAAATATTTTTGTTGTATATATTTATTTTATATATGAGCCTTTTGCCTGAATGTATGTGCATCATATGTGTGCCATGTTGAGGTAAGATGACCTTCTGTATATTGTGAATATATGTTGTTCCCATTGGTTGAAAATTAAAGCTGCTTTGGCCTATGCCAATACAAAAATATCTGGGCAGGAAATCCAAACAGATATACAGGAGAAGGGTAGGGTTGAGAGGAATGGGAACCAGCCACACAAGAAGTGAGATGCCAGCAGTAGCCTAAGGAGAAAGATGGCCACAACCACATGATGATACACAGATTAGTAGAAATTGGTTAATTTATAAGAGAGAGAGAACCAGTAATGAGCCTGAGCCACTGGCCAAGCAATTATATTTAATATAATTATATTAGCCTCTGAGCGATTATTTCATATGTGGCTGTGGGAACAGATTGATTGGAGAGAAACTGGTCCAGCTAGACCAGGCAAGACAGAAAAAAGCTTCCAGCTACACCCGATGTTAGCAAAGACCAGGAGCACTAGAATCTCTGGATTTAGAATTACAGATGGTTGTGAGTTGCCTTATAGGTACTGGGAACTGAACCCAGGTGCTGTGAGAGAGCAGAAAATACTCTTAATCACAGAACCATCTCTTCAGTCTCAAATATTTACATATGTTATTGGCAAATAAGAGAGCAGGTTTTGAGTAAATATCTATAGCTGCTTTGACTCTTTAGTTCTACTTTTATTCCTTGCCAGAACCACCCCATCCTTCTTGTGAGAATTCCCAACTCCAATAAGGTAACTTCATCAGCTTCTACATGGCACCGAGAACTGATTCTCTGGGTCTGACTTTTGAGTCCTCTGAGGTACCCCGAAATTTGTCTCATCACTGGATTAGCATTCAAAGATGCCTCCAGAAGCTTACAGCGCAGGTCACTCTTTAGACCACAGACTGCACTTGTGGCAGCTTCTCCCAGGCCCAGTGCAGGACAGGCTTTTCCACAGAAGCACAGTGAACACCAGGGCTCAGCTAAGGGTATAAGCGAAATCCAGAAACTTGAGCATAAATCTCTTCCAGAATAAAACCACAGCATCTTTAATCAAGGCCTGGCAATCATTGTGTCATTTCTCTGAGGCTGGAGTTGGTAAATGCATCTATCCCACTAGGCCTTTAATACTTGGTTAGAAATGAATCCAAGAAGTTGACTAGCAAGACAATTCATGCGGTACAAACACAGATCTGTAATTCTCTTTCCCTTTACCACAAAAACAGTTAGCTCCTACACAGAATTCGCTTTGAAGACAATGCGTGCCTGGGAGAAACTAAGAGCACTGAAAATGGGGCCAGAAGTAATAAATAAGGATTGCCAAAAAAACAAAACAAAGTGAAACAAAAAGTCCATGAATTTCTTCTACAAATCAAGCCCACTGTCACTTTATAACAATTCTGAAGGCTGAATTAGTGACATACAATTAGTGAGCTAACTTGCAATGTTTGCCTGCAGTGAAAGAGTGAGTTTTCTTTCACCTTTATATAATTAAACAGCCAAGAGAATTGTATCTCCTGGTACAGGAGATTAAAAATAATGAAATAAATGCTTTAATATGGAATTAATCCATCCTATTATCTCTGTCTGACTCAGCTCCAGTGCGATTCTTCTCCCTCAGCAGGACAAGGATCATCTTCTTAGCATGGAGGCCCAGGCAGGCTGGCACCTTCCCACTTCCTACCTTTCCCATAGAACTCATTCAAAGAAAAACAAAGGCTCTGCGAGGGAGGGGTGGTTGTTGTTTTATGCCCAACCTTAGGTGGGATTTTATGTTCCTTCAAATACCAGCTCCACCTTACTGTCGCCAAAAAAGAAAAAGAAAACAAAGCCCTAAAACGAATTTTTGAAGCAATTAAAAAATGCAAAGGACTAAGGTATTTTTAATTTATTCGTAATTATTTTGTAGATTGGACCTCACGGAGACTACAAAATCAGAAAGCAACTTGCAGACAAAGGTGACTGAAATGATGAGGAGCAAGTCAAATAAGGTCTTTTGTTCTTACTGAATTTTTTCTTCTTTAAAAGACATCGCTTGGCTAGAGTTCCTATTTTCTGTTTAAAGAGGGTTATGGAGCATACATGACTAGTGGCTGTAGAGCAAAGAACTTGCCCTTATTTTATCAACCGCCAAATATAAATAGTTCATTATGGTTCCCTTCCACCAGGCCACCACTTTCCTTACCACCTGTCAAAACAATATGCTAAGGCAGGTTAGTCCCTTGTGGCCTAAGGTCCTTCCTTATCAGAGCCTGGTATACAGTATGCCTACCTACCGTTCCTTGCACTGCACAGTAGCCCTGGTGTTTGGGTAGGGAGGTTCTGAGGTCGAGGTTTCACCAGTAAGTAACTCCAAATGGCTCCTGCTGTCACTACCACATCTCTGTGGCCTGTGGTGCCTTCCTTCAGGTACAGTGAAGCAATTGTGCAAATCTCACTTTGCACTAACCATAAGGTACAGAAATTGCATTAGGCTGATTAGGTGGAATCATAAGGAGTATTCAGGAAGGTTAGCTGGATACAGTGAATGCCATCGTTAGACTAAGATAAAAAATCACTTCGTTAACTTAGAGTGTTTTTTCATTGGTAACACCCTATATTAAGGTGCCATTTATAAACAGTTTATTATTATTTATTAATGTGTGAGGCACTTTATAGAATGCAAGATAACAACTTAAATCCATGTATTAAAGATGCACATACATGGTTTAATACGATTTATGTCTTATAATATTCTTTAAAGCAGCCTCCCATAGTCTCATCCGTTAAACATTTATTACTAATGCATTTTATAACATGCTGTATAATACATTATTTGGGAAAGTAGCAGCATTTAGCGATTATTTCATAAATAAGAATAAAGCACTTATAAATGGCACCTTAATTTAAAGTGTTACCTTCACATTACCAGATTGCTGCTCACATTCGTCTCATTAGCGCATCTTCTCCAAATGCAGCACTTAATAAAACAGACACTACGTTCTATCTTCCCTTCAGCCAACTAAGAGGGGATTGCGTCATTTCCTCCATCTGCTTTCAGATGTTGGTAGCTCAGAGGCTTCAGTGAGATCACCCATGTAAGCACACTCTCAGTTCAACGCTATCTCTGAAAAGACTTTGGCAAAACAGAGAACGACCTACCACGTTGGGAAGAGCTTGCTGCTTGGAGTCTTTGTAAAATTCAATTTTTTGACCAGAAAGAACAATCCAGGAAGTAGACCAGTTTTTCCTTAGGAGAAAAAAAAAAGATAAACGTGTCATGAGTAGAAAAGATCACGCATGAACAGTTTCAGGGAATTTGTTGTGAGTGCAGATGATTCAGGGTGAGTTTTCCTAATTTATGCAAATCTGTTAAGTGGTAGAAAATTCAGATAATAACAATAAAAGAACTCTAGGATTTTAAAATCACACAAGTAAACCTTTCTCAGTTTGTAAATCCTCCTGGATGCTCTTTAACTAGTCAATAGCCCTATGTTGTATATCCACCCATGGGCCTCTTCACAGTAAGGAGGCGCTAAGGTGAAAGTGTTGGGGGCTGCTGTCTCTGCTCCTTCTCATTCACATAGATGTCTCAGAATCTGAAGGACTGACCAGCTCATGTGCCATCTTTAAATCACAATGCCTTTGAGCATTACCAATGGAACAGTGACATGCTTTACTCCTGTTTCCCATGAAATTGCCAAAGATTAAAAGAACCAACGTTAAATATATTCTCTCACACTATCTCCTCCAGAGTGCAACTTAACGCTGTTTTTTCTAAACTTTATACATAAATTTTTTGGCTAGGTACATTTATTCCAACCAATTTAAGTTTATCCTAAAGAAATAGGCCCAGGTTTTCCAGACTCTGACCATTAAGGTGACTTACACATTCATTGGTAATTCTGATCCTATAGCATAAACAAACAATAAACATCAAAAGACAGAGATTGCTTAAGAAAATTGCTCACAATAGAATAGCACATTGGAAAAATAACCTCTGTTTTTAAGAATACTGATGTGGGAAGATTTTAATGAAGCCTGTAATATATACTTTACTCCATGTTCTGCAATTTACCTAGGACCATCTTCACCCTGCTCAGCCCCTTCTGATTATTAATTCCATCCATCAGAAGTCCAAATATTGCTTCCCTCAAAGTACATTCATGACATATAACATGATGAATTAAAAAAATACTTCAAAATTTTTCACTTTCATTGCCTTCATTAAAATACAAGCCCCCAGGCAACAGAAATCATTTCAGCATTATTGGGTATTTTCAGAGCCTAGCACAGAGACCTGGAGAGTCTAAGACCTAAATGGACATTTATTTAATCAATGAGCACTTTGGCCTAGAAAAAAAGTCTCGATGTAGCCATAGTTAAATAAGATGGAGAGATTACAATGTTTTCCTTCCCTTTGTATTTCTTAGTTTTACATATTTCTTCAATGGAACACATTATTGCTTCTGCAATTGGAGTGTGTGTGTTAGTATTGTGAAAGGTTTCCTTTTTTTAAGACTTTTAATTTAAATTAGAAACAAGCTTGCTTCACATGTCAATCCCAGCTCCCTCTCCCTTCCCTTCCCTCCTCCCCTGACCCCCACCAGCTCCCCAGCCCCCCAACCCAATCTCTACTCCATTCCCCAGGGAGGGTGAGGCCTCCATGGGGGATCTCTAGGCTGTCATTTCATTCAGAGTAGGGCCTAGGCCCTCCCTCAAGAGTCCAGGCTGAGAGAAAATTCCTCATTCTGGGAAAGGCACCCAAAGTCCATTTGTATGCCAGGGACAAATACTGATCTACTACCCAGGGCCCCATAGATTGCCTAGGCCTCCTCACTGACACCCACATTCTGGGGGTCTGGATCAGTCCCATGCTGGCCTCCCAGCAGTCAGTCTGGGGTCCAAGAGCTCCCCCCTTATTCAGGTAAGCTGTTTCTGTGGGTTAAACCAGCCCGGTCTTGACCCTTTTGCTCATCAGTTCTCCCTCTCTGTTGCTGGGTTCCAGGAGTTCAGTTCAGTGTTCAGCTGTGGGTGTTTGCCTCTGCTTCCATCTGTCACAGGATGGAGGTTCTAGGATGGCATATAAGATAGTCATCAAACTGATTATCAGGGAGGGATTTACCAGTTGGTGTCATCTTTGCGGATCTCTGGAAATCTCACTAGTGCCAGATCTCTCCTCAATCCTATAATGACTCCCTCTATTATGGTATTTCTGTGAAAGATTTTCTTTAGGTGACAAAACTATCAGCAAGTTTGACATACACAAGTTTCTACCTTTGAAATATATTGATACCCTTTTCTCTAGTTTAACCTTTATTTTAAAATAATTATATTCATTTTAAAAGAAGTGATGAAGAAAAAGTTTACAAAAAAGCTTCAGTTCAGATAAATATAAAACCATACAAATATGATAATGTGACATATTTTGTGTATCTATGTGCACAAGATTTTATGTGATTTCGCTCTACTTTCTAATTATAAGGACAGTTTTTATCTAGTATGGCTAATTTTGGCAAAAAGAATGTGGTTGCTCTTACATGCCTGAATCTTTCTTTTCCAAAAGGTATTTATTTATTATTTTATGTGTATTCATGTTTTGCCTGTAGGTATGTGTATATGGCTGGTGCCTGCAGAGCCAGAAGAGGATGTCAGATCCCAGGAAGCTGGAGTTAAGGACAGTGTGAGCCACCAAATTGGTGCTAGGAACCAAACTTGGGTCCTTTGGAAGAGTAGCCAGTGTGCTTAACCACTGAGCCATCTCTCCATTCTCCTAAAACTTTCTTAATGATAACTATTGCATTAAAAGAAGAACAAAATAAACATATATACAAGAAAAACGTTTAGAATGTCATCATACAACACCATGCTGTTGGACTAACTTTTCTCCAGATGGGTAGCCCATGTTTCATTCAAATTATAAAAAGTCAGAAGGCAAGAGAAAAATTAGCACTTTCTGTCTGGATTAGTGCCTATTTCTTTTTGTCAATACCAACAGTACTAAGGTGAATTGAAACAATTTAAGCCTTCCATTTAAATAGTTCATAGTATTAGATGGCGCCAAAAAGAAGAGTGAAAACCATTAGAGACCCTGGCCAGGGATGGACATACCTATCACAGTCCTTTTGACCATGTGTGATCAGAGTGTGAAACATCCTAACAGGTGATTGGCCCATATTTAGTTCACCTGCTATGGTTCTCACTATAGTTTCTATCTTCTGGCAGGGTGCTTGCAAAATGTATTTGCTTCCTATCTATAGAAGTTCCTAGAGAAATGGTTCTGGTTTGAATCTGTTTCAGATGTTGATCATTTATAGAACTCTTCTCTTCCTTAAACTTCTAACTGGAGCAGGTTACAAAGGAAGTCCATGAATTCCAGTTATGTCATCAATCTGTCTTGGGACTTTAAACTATATCCCTGCTAGGTTAAGTGTATAAGAACAAAGAGCTGGGAAGCCTAGACATGTGGACATCCATAATAACTATGTCTGGTGCTATTATATCTTAGCTTTGTCAGTCTCAAACATCATCTTTATTGTATCAGAATGAAGAGGAAAGCTGACCCAACTGCTGAATCCTACAGCTTGAAAATCATTTCTTGACAAAAGAATAATAAAATGGAGCAGATAAATGTAAGACCTCTTTTCACTTCAAATTCTCTCATGAGTTCCATAAAAAACATCAATGACTTAGCTATTTTGAGCAACTAGTAAAAGTATAATTGTCGGGTTACAGTTTATACTCGCATGTCAAAAATGAAACTACTAATGTCCCTGTGTACTAACCAGAAAATTAGTCTCATAGAGCTCAGATTACTTAAGACCACATGAACACTGAGGGTCAAGTCCAGTTTCTCTGAAAATGCACCTTGTAATCTACTTAATGTATTTACGTATGCTGTATTTCTCAACAATGTAAGCAGTGTGAACTTGACTAAGGATATCATAAATTTCCTTGATATATTGAAGCCATCTGTAGTCTGTGAGAACGAGTGTCATCCAGTTGGGCTGCATTATTACTAACTACGGATGCTTTTAAAGAAGCTAAGAAGTCTGATGAGTCCACAACCAGGTCTTCTCTACTTCTCAAACCCTTGAATAATAGGAGCTATGGATCCTATCATTGACTCCTACTTGCTGCATAGTATGTCACCCGGTGTTTTACATACATTATATATTGGAACCACTTAGCCAGTCACAAGTACATTTTCACATACACTCTATGCCAAACAATACTAAGGGCAGACTAGAAAAATAAAAATAGTAAGTAAAAGATAAAAGTAAAGTAAGATAGACCTCTAGGATTTTTATCACTGACCACAGCTCCTAAAGCTGTGGAAAGACACTGGTCCTCTGAGTAATTCTTGTGGGTGGTCAAGGATCCCTTGCAACTGAGAAGGAAACTGCAACTTCCTGACACCATGTCCTACCTAAGGGCACACAGTCATACAGAAGTCATTGAAGGATTTGACCCTGAAGCCCACACTCATTCTGAAGGATCAGCTGTCTCTGGAGCAGGGCTGTGTACTCTCCTACGATGCGTGCACTATGCTGAGCCTTAAGACAGGAGTTAGGAGGAGAGATCCTGCTTTTGGAGAAGCATTAGGCTTCTTCCTCCTAGGAGCAGAGTTGCCTTCCTTGCTGGTTCAGGGCTTCTGTGATATCTCCTGCAGAAGCATGTTCCTACACCAGTGGGAGGCAGCTAAAGCCTCCACATTCATCATAACATTGGGGCATTGAGAGAATGTTAACTGTTGCTAGCAGCTCGCTCTCTCTATTTCTCTCCTTCTTCCCTCCCTTCCTCCCTCTCTTCCTTTCTTCCTTCCTAGAACACATGTAGCTCAGGAAGTCAGGAGTCAATGGTCCCTGGAATGAGTGAGACAGTCCAGATCACCACACAGACTTCACGGTATTCAGTGAGGAATCACAGCTAGTCTTTAGTGCTGAAAATAGATCCAGGAACAAGAAATGAAGACATGTTTGGCAGTTTGATAGCCAAATACATGATATCTAATAGGATAAAATGTCCTATAATTACAAAGTTAGAAGAACTAAATTCATATAAGAACAACTGATTTTGATACGGGCAGTTGCCAGGGTATTTTAGGCAAGTGGAATACTTCCCATAACTTACTAAAACAAATTGTGAGTTTTAAAGTAGGGTAAGTGGGAAAAGGTGAAGCAAAATAAAACCAAAATATCAAGAAGCCCCTGACATGAGTATCAGCTTGACATTCTACCAAGTGGACAC